AAAAAAAAGCTAAAAAAATGCATCCCAAAAAATTTTGAAAATTTCATAATAAAATATTTAAAATTTCCAGCTTCAGCCGCAACAATAATTACTAATCAATGCTTATAAATTGGAAGTAATTTGTTTACAAAAAACTTAGCTGAAAGTTTCAATGTCTATATCCTGTGATTCTTACTATTCTGAGAAATATCTATTAACAAGAACTGCATATATATAATCAACATTATTTAAAACTATAATACCAACATTGAAAATAACTGTAAAGTTACAATTGTCAGATGCTCTTTAATAGAATTTGTAATAGATATCGCAATAAGTACTAAGCTGAAAGTATAGTATTGTTAGTAGAAGAAATGTGAAAAATTTAGACATAAGAAATTAATTGACAGAAGTAGTATATAAAAATTCAAGTCAAACATTAAAGCTCTAGTAGATTTAAATTACAGATAAAGTAGTTCAAGTCTAGTATTCTAAGATTAGTTAGTAAATACATGAGTAAGTAACAAGGTTGTATAATAGTATACAAACTTATGATTTAATAAAGATACAAAAAGTATAACCTCATTTTAATAAAAAAAAAACAATCACTAGTATATTTGTCTAAATTAAAATTAAACATATATATAGTGTTATTAAAAGATATTTAAACTCTACCTTTTTTATTAACTCTTTCTAATAATCACTTGGACCAACTATTATCTAACTATAAGTTAAAAACTTAAGGTTTAAAAGTCTAAACTATTTGATATTTTCATCTATAAACTGTTATCAACAAAGTTTTAAAATATAATATACTGAGAAGCAGATATTTTAAATGGTTTGCATAGAAGTCAAATACTTTTTTTTGCTCTATTTTCTTTAGATAAACTTCTTTATACATTTGATATCTAAATTAAGAAAGTTTTCAGAAATAGCAAGTATACAGAAAACATAAATAAAAAGAATAAAAAGATAAAAGAAAAAACAAGAAAGATACTTACTAGTTGGCACTTTAGAACTCAAGAATATTTCTTGCCATTTTTTTTGACTATATTTTCAATGAAAAATGAAGATTTAGTTTACTTTTATCAAAAGATTAAAAATATTTATCACTTTTATATCAAGAAAGACTTAGATGTATATAATAAAAAAGAAAAACAACAAATATATAGAACTACTAATTATATCAATAAAAACAAGTTAAAACAAATTTGAAAAGGACTCAGATTGATCTGAATATAATTTGTCAGAAATAAAGGCTCTTAAAGATAGATTTGAGGAAGTAGTTTTCAATAATAACCATCAGATCTTTGAAAAGACCTTCTGTTTAATCTTATATAATATAAATAAGAAAACAATTAAAATTTGATAACAATAAAGAAATATGAAGCCTTTTGTCTGACACTTTGAATATAATATAGATTTAATAAAGAAAGTTAATAAAAGTATTAGTTTAAGAGTTAGGTTGTATATATATATTTTTTTAAATGTTTTATAGAATAGGTGAGCAAACTCTACCAATTCTGCAACTCTAATATTAAAAATTAATAATTACTAATTATTAACGAAGCTTATTTCTTATATTACTTACCTATTCTATAGAACATTTATTTTTTTTTGTTTTTTTTTTAAACCTATAGTTAAGATCTTTTTATTAAACTAAGTTTAAATAGTTAGTATAAAAGCTAACAGATGTATAGCTGTTTGTTAATGATTAAAAGATTTAAGATCTTAGTAAGTTAAGGATATGAAGAAAGGTCAATAGCTGTTGAGACAAAATTGCATCTGAATGGTAGCTGCTTAGATGAGTTCTTTGTTTGGTTAAATTAATATAGCTATAGAAAGAATTACTTTATAATTTTTTTTTTTTTTTTTAAATTTGCTATATACAGGATAGATTAGTACAAATTGTATCAAGATGATATTAATTTAAACTATCTATTATATCTTGTATAACCACCTAAGTATCCCTTAATTTTCTATTTAAAAACTAACTTACCATTAGTTATAAGAGTAAAAAAAAAAGCTCAAACTTTATAATTTTATATTAGCTTAATTTTAAATAAACAGATGCAAAATAGTCAAATTAAAAAAAAACTCTATCTTTTTTTCTAAAACAAAGAGACATTAATATATACTATACTTTACACTTTATTTCTTGAATATTTTAATTATTTTTGGATATATTGAACTCTTAGTTTAATTATATTTTTATAATAAAGTTTTGTTAATTTGTATTTTTTAATAATAAACTATAGTATTATTATTTATATTTTTATAGTATTTTTATTATAAAATTATTATTTTTCTTTTGATATTTTTTTTTTTTTTTTTTTTTTTTTTATAAGATGTCCTTTGGGACCGAGCTTTTATTGATGTTTAACTGTTGATCACGTGGGTCTTATATTTAGTATTACAACGAGAGTACAACTAGCCACACGTACAACTTTTGGTTGCCTATTTAAGTAGTCCGCCTGAAGGTTCTACACTAGATGCCATGCCTATAATTTGACTAGGGGATTATCTATTTAAACCCTCTGATCATACATACGCACCAATTATTCTAAGCCAGGTACCTTTATACCGAAGTACCTCCCACTCACTTACCTGAGTTTGGTTACTCCGCTGGTTTCCCTAGGGTCCCCACAGGTGGGCGTAGTGGCTGCCTCCCTAATTCTTCTATGTCGCACACATTTCTAAATTAGATTCAGAGAACCTGTCTGCTATGGCCAAGATCAACACTAGCGGTCAGAGCTAACCATTAAACCGCACAATTTCTGGTTCCCCTGCCCTTACAAGGTTCATTCCAATCCCGATACCTACATCTACCTTCCTTCCGGTCCTTATACTGATCCCTCCCAAACTTCCAAACCAGTTAGCCCGGATAGGTTGGTATACCTAGACTTTAAGTGTCCGATAGTTCCCTTCCTTTGGTTTCTAATTCCGCAGCATAGGATCTTTTCCTCTGGTGCGACTCCGGCTGCCAGGTTGGTGAACCCTTCTTGCCCCAGGGTTATTCGTCCAGTTCTTCGGTCTCCGGTTTCCAGGCTTCTGGCTTCTGCAGTATCGTCAAAGATCTTTACTACTTCCTTGCTCAGGTCTTTCCAAATGGGTTTCAATTATTCCGGTTCCTTGGCTTTGTCTGTGTGATGTCACACAACTTCGTCCAAAAGCTCCTATTCAAGATGGTGGTACCAAGGTTACAGGTAGTACACCCAACTGATCGTTGAATAAATGTTACCGAAACAAATCTTATTTTTCAAAATCGTCGCCAGTGGGATTTGAACTCTAGACCTGCCATTTGAAGGGGTGACAACTTACCAACTTCACTAAGTCACCACACCCTTTTTGATATTTTTTAAATTTTATTATTTTTAATTTTTTTTTTCTTTAGCAATTCTGTTTATTTTATTATGAAAACAGACTTTCATTCTTATATTAATATATGAAAAAATCTAAATCTATATTGTTCTAACCAGAAGATAAACTCACCCATTTCTTTATTTCGCAAATACTATAACACCTATTTGCAGTCAAAACAAACTATTAAACTGCTGTATTATATCCAGATGCAATCCGCTTAGCAAACAATTGATCTCCTCTGGAAATCTGAAACTTACTCCAGACTTATTTTCCCTGAATTCCTTAGCTGGCTGTTATACCACCTGTCAAGATTTCCATTCTATAATCAAATGCTGCCAAACTGATAAAACTTTCTTATAGGAAAAAAAAAAAAAAAAAGAGATAATAGAGAACAAAAAAAAGGAGTATATACTGTAATAAAAACTAATACATTAAAAAAAATAGGTACTTAGTTAAACCAAGCAAGCATATTATAATATAATAATTAAAATTAGTTTACTAAAAAAATTTTTTATAAAATTAAATATAAAAAAAATTGCTATTAAGTTTATATATAATTTTAAAATAATACTCTCTATCTTTAAAGTAGGCTAAAGGCAAAAAAATTGTTAACTCTAATTGTGAACTGGGCCCAGGCCACAAAATTAGGAATTTGCAAACCTCTACTATAAAGTACTTCCTTTATAAAGTACCTTCTTACAGCGTTCTCCCGTAATTAGTACCCGGGTGGGTACTATTCAAGAAATTTGACGGTTTATCGAATAGTATCCCGAGTACTTTTAGTCATGGCGTACGGTAATTCTTTTTAAAGTGAGAAGCATCGCATAATTCTAAACACTGATAAATCTACATATTCGTGTAACATAACAGGTTATGTGTCTAATAACGCTTATTGTGAAAAAATCCATTAAACCATATAGAGTTCGTTGTAATCTCTAAAATTTTCAAATGTAAAAGTTCTTTATACTATGTTTTAAAACATCATTACATAGCGATAGCTCAACAAAACGTTTTTCTATTCTTAAAAAGAAGTTTTTGCTTTGTTAATTTTTTTTTTTATTAAGTCAAATACATTCGACCATTTAGTAATTATATATAGTTCTATAGTTATGTTCTATAGTTATAATATACGTAGAAATTTTACCTTCCGAGCAAAATACCTCTAGGTTGTGAATCTTTTTGGATTCTTTTTCAAAGTAACTGTTGGGGCTTTACTGAAGATAAAGACTCATTTTTTGCTTACATTCTTAAAAAGTACTCTAAACTGTATAAATACAATTGTAAGTGATTGACCAATCAGAAGAAAGTTAAGCTATAGGATTTTTTGTGGGAGATCGCGTCGAATGTTGTTATTTGGAACAGAAACTTTCATTAAATTCCATTCTGCAACACCAAATATTTTCGCGTGTATATAACGATAATGTCCTCTCTCAAACCACCGAAATTCGCGTTGATTGCCGGTGAAATTATGTTTTACTTTTAAATGTATATAATCTTTGTCGTTACGTTCAATTTCTCAAAAAAAAAAAACATTAGCTGCAGAAGAAAACTGGGGGATCGGAATTAATAATGCACTTCCATGGAAACTTAAAAAGGACATGGCATACTTTGAAAGGGTTACTAAAAAGGTGTTAACGTCAAATGAAACTACCGATACATCTCTTGTTACTCCTAACGAGAAAATTCAAAATGCCGTAATTATGGGCCGTAAAACTTGGGAATCTATTCCTCTTAAATATAGACCATTGAAAGACCGATTAAATGTTGTTTTATCTAGAAGTGTGAAACTTGAAAGGTATTATCAAAAGTGTTATTTTTACTTCTCTTTTTTAAACTTTTATAAACATATAGATATGTATATGTATTTGATTTATACAGCGATACACATGTGGTTCATTCATCTTTAGATGATGCCATTTCGAGTCTTACTGACAAACCTACGGTTGCACGCATTTTTATAATTGGTGGTGGTGATATCTATAAAGAAGCAATAGAATTGCCTCTTTGTGAATACATCTTGCTTACTAAAGTGTATAAGAATTTTAACTGCGACGCTTTTTTTCCAAAAATTGATGAAAATTTGTATGAATTAGCAAGTCATGATGAATTGGTGAATTTTACCGGTGATGATGTTCCGAAAGGTAGGCAAGTGGAGGGTGACATTGAATATGAATTCTTGATGTATAAAAGAAAGTAATACAATACTTGTGTAAACATGCACAATAAATAACTATATTCCAAGTGTTTACGTAATTCACATGGATCTGGAAAATTAAATAGTATTAGCGTTAACGTTGGTACACTTAAGTTTGCCTAATCCAACTCTCGTTGCTAATTTCTTGTTTCCGAACTGGGCAACAACATAAATCTTTCTACCATTATAACCAAACTTTGTTAAATAAAGAATGGGTTGTTGCTGCAGTAAAGACGAAGGTGATGATGGTTCAAAGGTAAATTACAATATATTATCGTTATTCTTTACATATTGCAAGCGTCAGTCTTCTGTAGCAGATTGTAAAAGCGAACTTTCGTGTCAAATAGCCGAACGAACGATCCAACCTCATATCTGGAGACGGAAACTCTTATGTTGAGTTAATATCATGTTTACGTTCATTATCACTGAAATTTGGTGTAATAATTAATTGACTTTAACGTGTAAAAGAATATTGCTATTAATTTAGGCAGAGGATGGCCTATCCACGTTACGATGCTGTGGCAGATCGTGATAGAGAACGTGAATCATTGCAAAAAATCGTTCAACGAACAGCAGAGTATGTTTATCATTACTTTTGTGGGTTTGCTTTATCTTTATCCATTTTAATTTTTCAATCTTATTTAGAAATCTTATCGACATATCAAACGTCCATGTTACTGAGCGATTGCAACAACAAGATGTAATAAATCGTGCTAATGAATACAAGTAGATAGTTTTACTTTATTTTTTTTTCATTTTATTATTTCTTGTCTATATTACTCACTTTCTCTATCTCAATTTAGAAATTTCATAAGTACAATTAAACTTGATTCGAAAACACTTCAAAAAATTCAAGAGAAGAACACTCTGCCCAAGTTGCAGAATAGAAAACCACTATCATTATCTCATATTTCAGATGTAGAAAATAAAACGTTAATACCGCCTAATATTGTTTTAAGCGATGGAGGTTTAACTAAAGAAGACCAGACGTGGGTGGGTATTTGATCTATTTTCTCAATTTTTCCATTCTTTAATGCGTCCTATGTTCAAATTCATCTTTTATATTCAGGTACACAAAGCCATGGACGAAATACATGCTGCAATTGACCACATTGAGGTTGAATATGTGGGTGATTTGGTGGTTTCGTTGACATAGGCAGTACATTTTATTGTTATGGATAAAGTTATCTTGTGCATTTTTCTTATTTAACTAGCCGAACAAATTATTCAATTTGGTAAATTTGGTCGAGTTTATTCATAGCAATCTTCACTCTTTTAGCTTGCTGACCTTTACCATAATAAGTGGAATTTATTTTCTATCGGACTATTTTCAATGAAATAATCATTGCTATTATTGTAATATATATTTCTGTAATTGTAGCATTTACAATTTGAGCCAATTTCTCAAATTAAAAATAGCCACCTTAATGGTCGCTACGTATAATTAATGTTGTTAAGCGAAGTATTTTAATAATAAACGATAGAGCAATTGGTACCTTACTATGAATACAAATTGGCAATAAATAAATATATAGTTGAAATATTTATGTACGCTTTAGCTTCAATGTTAATAAATAAAATTTTAGATTGATAAAATAAAAACTTATTGTATATGTCGTACGTCTTAATAGAACTGTTTTAGATTTAGAATCTACTTAGATTAACCGGAAATATAGCAAATATGTAATGCATAGAAAATAAAGTACGTATGTAAAGTAGATATTAAGGTAGTATGTATAGTTCATAAAAGAAATTCTTTAAGAAATTTTACCTATAAACTATACTAACCCCAACATGAAAAATAGCACTCTCCCTAACCCTAAAAAAGAGATAACTTATAAAAGATAAATTTTATAAGTTTTGCTATCATATAAGGTGAAGTAGGGTATTCTGACGCACCTAAGAGTGCTAATAGTAAAAGTTTTCAGAAAAAAATATATTATTCACAAATTTTATTAAAATAAACGAATATTCGATCTAATATCCATCGTCAAACTAATAAATGCTTTAAATTTTAAAGCAAAACTCGATAATTTGAACTTTCAAAAACTATTTGAAAACTGTTATGTTTTGTGAGTTGGGGGGTATTTTGACGCACTATGCAAATCCGATTAGACCTCAGTGTTAATTATCTAAATTTAGCAAAATTCTATTTACACTAGCTCTTTTTGTACTTTCGATTTTGCTGACCTCTCCCCCTTAAATTGCTCAGATAGGAAAAAAGAGAAAATAACGTAAGAACTACACAATAAGTCTAACCTTCCCTCAAGTCTTGATCAGAATTGAATAATTTTTGTATCATTCGATCCGTCTCAGTAAAACGAATCGAATGGTACTAAAATTGTTTGATTCTGATCAGTGTATCGCAAGATATTATAAAAAAACTTAAGTGCGTCAAAATACCCCCCTGCGTCAGAATACCCTACTTCACCTTATGCTTTCGTGAATTTTCTTAGTTTACATCTATACAAACAATGGTATACATCACTTACATGCTGTTTTATACAATACATATTTCTGTGATACCCGAATTTCAACCCCAAGTTGATATGAAATCTAAAAGCAATTAAGTTGATTCTAAATTTGATACCGATACTGTAATTAATGTTTAATTGATTAACGTAACGATAGAGTATATTCCATTTATCATTATAATAAACTTTTAAATATTTAAATGCAATTTTTTATAACCAATAAGCGAATCCATTCTTATACCGTAATGCATTTGATGAATGTTTTTTAACAGCAAATTGACTAATAGATGACTTTAATTACATGTAAAAACTTTGATACCTGTATTAAAGTTTGCAAGATCCGGCAAATATGATAAAATTGGGCAAAAAATATATTTGCTATTATATGATCTTGAACAACAAACCTATTATTAAATTTGACTCAATTTTCAGAATTGGATAGAGTTTCTTCAACACTTTGAGAAGTATCTATTATAATTGCAAAAAATGTTAACTTGTAAATTTATATATTACCAAAATAAAAATCATTGTTTAAAATTAGAATTTAAAATTTAAATTACATTAAAAATTTATATAATTTCTTTATTGGAATCTTAAAAGTATTTTTAGTAAAATTTTAAATTACACTACTATATATACTACTGTATATTTATGTTTATTTACTATATAGCAGTGATATATGTTTGACTGTTTAAAGGCTTTTTTGGCACTATTCAATGTTCAAGTATCCAAGTATCCAAAAGTGTTCAGAGCATATTTGAACTTTAATAATTAATATATTTGTTTAAAAAATATATAATTATATACAGAGTATATTTATTTCTCACCCAAGATGAGATCTCATCTAGTGATTCAAATTATTAGTTGAAAATTCAACTAGTTGACAACTTTTCAATTAATCAATTTAAAAAAATTTAAAACAACTAATCGATTAATCATCAAACTGGTACAGTTCTAATATATTTTGTCTAATTAGGCTGTTTTGCGTTAAAATCTTTAATTTGATTAGATAATCATCTAATGAGATCATGTAATATAAAAATCGATTAGTTGCAATTATAGTTGACAACTAATTGATTGGCAAAATTTTTACCAACTTAAAACACTAATCTTACCTTCTAATTTTGTCAATAAATTTGCAAGATCATGTGTAATGTATATTGTAATATGCTTGCTTGGCTTAACTAAATATTAAATATAATAATAATAAAATGTGTCATCATCAGCTAAGTCAAACAAATATATTACTTGATTTAATATATACAGTGGCCTACCATATGTTTGTGGACACTTTTTAAAATTTTATATAAAGCCAAATAAATAAAATATTAAGCCAAAAATAATATTATAA